TGAGCTGATGCGGGAGCGTGTCCAAATTTGTCTTGTGTGTCCGCAGAAACAGCCGCCACATGCCCTTCAGCCTGCCGAACGCCCTCTCCACCGCTCCCCTCGCCACCTTCTGTTTGTTGTCGAACCGCTCCTCGTCGACGTGYTGATTGATGACTCCATACGGGACGACCATCGATTCGGAAGGGGGGTATCCATTGTCCACCAGAACGTACCCGTTCGTCTTCACATCGAACGGCAGTGTCACGGGGGGACCACGGAACAACGACCCCTCCTCTGTGCGCAGCGACAGGCTGGACAACTGCAGCACTCTGATGTTGTGGCAGCTACCGGGGTATTCCTGTGCACGTCGAGCACATGCAAGTCCAGGTCGAAGACAACCTGCACGACGATGGAGAAACGACGCTTCCTGTCGTAGTAGTTTTTGCTAGGAGCGTTCGCCAGCTTGTCAACGTACACGTGAGTGCAATCAATGCAACCGTGGCAATTGGGGAACCCTTTATCAGCAAACGCCCACAGAATGACGAGTTGGCGAAGTCCCGTTGGCCACGCGATCTTCTCTCCGAACACTCTTAGCAGYGCGGCAGTAACGTCGCGGACGACAATCAACCCAAAAGCTCGGCCAATCCCGAAGTTGCACGTGCTGCTCTCGTACGTCTCTCTTGAAGCCCACCTGTACAGCGCGTATGCCAAAATCTGGTCCGTCTGCAAAGGCTCCCTATAGAATGTGACCCGCCGCTGAAGATGAGGTGCACACGCCTCTGCGATTTCCCTGAACACTCACGGCGACATTCGAAGCTTATCCCGGAAGTAGTCGTCTGTCGCGTCGTCGCATTGCCTGAGGTCTTCCCACGTGCCTCCTGTCCTGCGCTTCACCCACCACCGCGGCGTCGCACGTGGTATCACTCCGCAACCCAACGCATAGCACAGCTGAACAACAGCCTCCGATGTCRCCACGTAATCGGCCCCATCGAACGGATCTTGCGTCAATTTCCTCCGTCTATGCGCGCGCAACTGGTCCTTCAGCCGCCCCAACGCCCTCTCCTGCTGACATCGAAGAACGATCGTGGACACGACCGTCGCCACTGCCYGCAGCTCACGATGACTCAATGGATCATGTCTAYCCTCTGCGCCGCCCTCCATAGCGCGACGTCGAAACAGTCTCGTCGTTCYGCTGCCGGCTGTGTCGTACTTCCKCACGCGTCGAAAGGCGGCCCCTTTTCTATGTCGACAGTCCCGCAGACRGCGAAGAGGAGCAACACGCAGTCGACGTGTGTAAAGGTCCACGGYGATGGAAGCACCAAACGCTGCCCGCGCAGTCGGAACGGCCTGGGGACGGAACCTCCGCCGCCGCTCAGCCACTTTCCGCAGCAGGCCAACCTCACGCCGCCAGGCACACGTCGTCGTCGTCGCAGCGGTCGTTCAAATTTTGAATTTGAAGTGCCCACGGCCTTGGGGTTTAATTTCTTTCCTCGTCGCCCGACGTCTGCCGTTTCCCGCCTCGCGTCGCTGGACCACGGCGCCTCCACACGGACAAAAGAAACTGGACCAAGGACGTCCGACCCCGCGGCCGCTAATTTACATATGAAACTGGCCGTGGGGAAGCCACAAGGAAACATCCTCGGGGAACGTCCCCAAGGATGAGTGGAACGACGCCGCAAATTCCCCTAAAAA